TATTTTATTTTCTGATTTTTTTTGCCAATATGTAGGACAGAGCATTTATTTGTTGAGATTTGAAGTTGCCATTTGTTTGACCATTCTGATACATAGTCAAGATCTTTTTGTAGGGTAGTAGTTTTACTATAGATAAAAATGAAAGTAAAATACACACACACACAACACACACACACATATATTCATGTGAAGTATTAGAACCTCTTTATAAAACTTTAGTAAGACCATACCTGGAATACAGCACCCAGTTTTGGTCACTACCATAGAAAACAGATGGAAAGAGCACAGAGAAGAGCAACTAAGATAATTAAGGGCCTGGAGACCAAAACAAATGAACAATGGTTGCAGGAATTGGGTTTGTTTAGTCTAGTCAAAAGAAAGACTAAGGGGTGACATGGTAGCAGAGTTCCAATATTTGAGGGGCTCCTGAGAAGAGGAGGGTGGGGTCAAACTATTTTGAAAAGCACCAAAAAGCAAGATGAGAAACAATGGATGGAAACTAACCAAGGAGAGAAGCAACCTAGAATTAAGGAGACATTCCCTAACAGTGAGAACAATTAACCAGTGGAAGCCGGCTTCCCTTCAGAACCAGTGGGTGCTTCATCACTTGAAGTTTTTAAGAAGAGACTGGACAGTCACTTGTTTGAAATGGTAGAGGGTTGGACTAGATGACCTCTAGGGTCCCTTCCAGCTGTGTTTTTCTGTTATCTGTTATTCAGAATTGCTGTCTTTTTCAGTGAAATAAATGGGACTGAATATATTAAGGGTTAGCTGGATTCGGCTGCTAAATATGCTAACGTTGTACTCCAAAGAATAATGATGATTAATAATTTTGACTGAAAACAATAAAACTAACTTCCAAGAAAACCCTTTAAACATTTGTAACATTTAACAACTCTCTGTTAGTATCAGAAATGATTGGTATGTATCCTTATGGAAAAGTCTTTACAGGTAGCTCTGAAATATAATCCTAATTGAGCCCAGAATTATGGTTGTAAATTGTGCCAGTTCATAAGTGGCTCATCTGATTTTATGACTTATTTCCCCACTGGTCATTAAGCAAATGTGACAGTCATAAAGCAAACATGGTAATTGTAAAGCAAATGCCACAGTCATTAAGTAAACCCATTGTCTGCAATGGTGTTTTTTTTTTTTTTGCTGGAAATTGGAAGTAAATGTTGGTTTCCAGCAAAAATCATTGTAATCGTTGTGATCGCGTGACAACAGGATGCTGCAAATAACCATACGCGTGGTCTGGTTGCCAATCACCCAAAATGTAATCATGTGGCTGTGGTAGGGTCTGCTTGGCCATCAGAATTTCAAATCCAGGTCATAGGTACCCTTTTTCTAGGGTATGTTGTAACTTCAAAGAATTGCTAAGTGACCGGTCATAAATTGAGGATGACCTGTAATTACTATCTTGCTTATTGTATATATTATCTATGTTCCATTCAGTAAGTCCTGACTCCTGAGGGTGACAGGAGGTCTCTGCAATGGTTTGCCAGTAACTTCTTGTGGCTGAGATTCAATGATTGTCTGTTTGTCAGTCTGTCAGTCAGTCGATCTGTGTCATCTATCTGTCTGTCTGTCTGTCTGTCTATCTATCTATCTATCTATCTATCTATCTATCTATCTATCTATCTATCTATCT